GAGAGTATTTTCCTTCGCTCCTGTTGTCGACAGTCTGTGCTGGTAATATGTACTCATACCCATGCTGATTGGCCCCAGTGAACAGGATGCCCTCCAGTGTAGTTCAACTCCTTAAGTACTTTCTAGTCATCTTTCCCTTCTCCCTTTCTGGCTCCTTTCCTGAAGATCCACTGTCAATATACAGATAACTTCCCCTTAATTACTCAGGAAATAAAGAAAAATGAATGGAGCTAGTGAGCTCAAAGTTTTTCTTTAGTCTTTCTACTAATTGTTTTCACTTGTCTAAAAAATTGTAACATTTTCCTTCAAGTTTGCATGAAAGAAGTATCTTCTCTTGGGGAGATGCATCATTTCTCTCCCTTTATGTTGCTGTTTGTGAATGCATTCCACACATTTACCTTCTCCTGGTTATGATAGTCTGTGTGTTGGATGCTAGAATTTCTTTTTCTTAAGTATTGTGAAATTTGTGTCTCAGATTATGTGGTGTCAATTGCTGTCTTGAAAGCATGCAATTGTACCTAGGAGATGGGCCTCTGTGCATGTCTGTACAGTATTGTGTTGGGTAAAGTTGGAAAGCTTGCTCACTGTGGTGGCATCATTCATGGGCAGGAAGTCCCAGTCTGTACAGTCAGAGAGTAAGAGCTGAGAAGCAGCTGGCATCAGTTCTCTTTGTTTCCTGGCTGTGGATGCAACATGACCAGTTGCTTCAAGCTCTTGCCTCCTTGGTATCTGTACTCTAATGGACCTTGAGCTCAGCTTTTTAAATGGAGCCCCTTCTCATTTAAGTTGTTTTAGTCAGGGTGTTTAATCACAGCCACTGGAAAATGAAGCTACAATGGGCCTATTGAAATAGGCAGGTTAATAAAAGAATAGCATGCAAATTAATTGGCAATAAAACATTTTGGTGACATGGACACCTTGAGGAAATGAAGACACAGAAGCCAAAGTACAACTGCATGTTCTCTAGACAATCTGAAGGACACCTGCTGGACAATAGGAGACAATGCTTGCACACTAGTAACCTGGGGAAAGTCTGCATGGTCTGTTCACTTCTGCTATTCTTTACAAGAGGCTTTGGATGTATGTGTGAGTCAGGATAGATGCTGGAACCATAGCATTCATTAGAGGAGAGGAGTAGGAGAAGGTCTGAGGGAATAGTCTTCTTGAGTGTCTTGACACGTCTAGAGTGCCCATATCCATAATTGCCAATAAAGACACGGTCTTTCTGACGTGTCCACTTTTTTTTGATCTTTTATGCAGAAACATGTCTAGCCCTATCTTGTTTTAACACACACACACACACACAGACACACACACACACACACACACACACACACACATGTAAAAACAAATGGGAGCTTCAAGACCTCCGAGTCTCATTCTCCTCCATGGTAGATGCTCTTCTCTGGCTTTTGTGTGACTGGGTAGATTCGTCATTCATGAAGCTGTTTTGCTTTGTCTTAGAGCTTCTCTGGTTCCATTGTTCTAGATATTCTTCTCTTGCCACTACTCAGATCCCTCTACCCGTTCATTAATGATTGGTTTCCTTGGTTCTAATTTCTGTTTATTTCCTTCCTTGTACCTAATCTTTAGGGAGTGCTACATTGATTTGTCTGTGACCTTGCTACACACTGTAACCACTAATCTTTACATTCTGTGTAGGCTTTTCTTCTGCTGAATCTGTTTCATTCTATTGCTTAGTATATCCTCAGGTCTCTGAAAATCATCTCAAATTCAGTAAAATCAACCTCTTTGGTTGGAGTGTAGCTCAGTGGCAGAGCACTTGGCCGGCATGTGCAAGACCCTGGGGTCAATTCCCAGAAAAGAACCAGACCAACAAACCAGCAGAGACCAATTCATTGAAGCCTCTAAACTACTTAATGCCTTCTACTAGGTGCTTCCGCATTTTGTTCTGATTCTCTGCATGAAAATGCCCCCATCTGCTCCTGAGAAACTTCCAAAATCACCTGCCAGGTCTTCCTCCCATTCACCTGATGCATCCCAAAGTACCCGTAGTCTGTGTAGACTTCAGGATTTCACTGAGCTAATGGCTTCTACTACTATTAAATTAATTGAGTAATTGTTATTTATTACCTCTCCTCTCCACCTTTTGTTCTTGTGCCCTGACTTCCAGCTACCATTTATTTCGTGTCAGGAAGATGTATTGTCTCATGTTTGCAGGCATCTCTTTGACCTTGTCACTGTCTAGCTTCTAACTTTCTAATACCACCTTCCTTTTTGAGCATACAAACCACATCCTCAGTAATATGGTTTGTACCATTTTTTTCTAGCTGAATTACCCACCACCTCTAATTCCTGTCCATTGTCTAGATATAGCATGGTCTCTAACTCAGACTTGCTGTGTTGACTGAGAGCAATGTGTTCTCTGTGCCTTCATTGTTGATTCCTTTAATCTTGTTAGGTTCTACTTGTCTTTCAAATACAACAGAAACAGGCAAACTCAGGAGGTAGGTAGGAGGTTGGGGGACCCTCCAAAATGCACCAGAGACCTGGGAGGTGAGAGACTCAAAGGCAGGAACCTTAGATGAAATGCCTTTTAGTGGGGAGAGGGAACTTGTAGAGCCCAACTCCAGCAGAAAGACAGGTCATCGAATGAGGGATGGGGTTGTCATCTCAAATACCACTCTTTAAGTAGCTACTGCCATGATCATTTGAAGGGGTTCATGATGGTATGTCACTTCAAACATGCAAATTTGGCCTCTTGCTTTAGTCACATAAGGAAATAGGATTTAAGAAAGGGCTACTCCCTCCACTTCCTCAACAAACCGAAGAAATTCTTTTGGGAGGAGTGTTCTTTATGTAATAAACCTAAGAAACAGCCTTGCTCACCAGAGATGGGTGACTGGGGGACTCAGTGAATCTGAATACAAACAAACTCGGATGTAAGCCTGAGCTCTCATTCTTCCCCCTTCCCTGGCTTGCTCTTGGTAGCGTTTCTGGAGTCTGTCTGTTCAGGTCCAGCTACTCATTTGTCCTGTTGATGCTCCACATCTGTGACGTACTTGGTCTTTTGTCACTGAGCGTCACGCTCCTGTGGGAGACTCCATGTACATGGAAAATGAATAAAACATTTATGCTTTTCTTTTGTTAATTAGCTCTTACATTAATTGGGTTCCTGGAGGCAATCAGAGGGCCAGTGTAAGAACTGAGGTGACTTGAGGCTGGTGCTGGGTCTTTCTCTCTAACAGGCCTCCTTCCAGCCTCTGTCCCTTAGAATTTGCTTCATGCAAAGGTTTTCTAGAAATAAATCGATGAGTAAAAGCTATTCCATGTCTTTCCTGGGAGATTCATTTCTGAATCTGCAAACACTGTATTAAATAACTCTCTCTTAGCACCAATGACCTTTCTCAGTTACCACATTCTTCTTATTGTTGTTCTCCTTTGCCCAGAGCTAGTTTTAATCCCAGTTTGTCTTGGTATTTGTTCTAGCATGTGCTAGAGCTTATTGGACAGTGTGACAGAAAATACGAATATATTTTTGGTGGTGTATGATGCAATTTATTGCATGTAAATGTTATATTGTCTGAATTTCTTCCAGCTTATGTAATATTTGAAGAAAATCAGGTAACAGTTAAAAAAGATAACAGTGTCAATTTAAAAAAGTGGCTTGCACTTCGAAAGTCTTCTTGACAGCTTGTCAGTTGGGGCAGAGATGAATGGATCGGTCCTGAATAACTTCTCAGCCCAAAAGTGAATGGTTCACCTCTGTGAACGTCACTAATGACCATGCACCTGGATGTTACAGTGACACAGATCAGTGTTCAGGAATGGACACTGTATGAATATCCATGTATGCATGAGTACCCACGTACACACACACAGGCCCCCCCCCACACACAGGCTCACACACACACAGGCACACACACACACACACACACACACAGGCTCACATTCTCTTTTACATTCTTTCTTCCTGTCCCTTGTTCCCTTCCCCCTCAAGCTTAGTTATGGCTAACATTTCTTACCACTTGTCAATGTTAAGGAATTATCTTTGAGAAATGATTCATTCTCTCTGGAGTCTAGGACTTAGTAAATGTGTATAGCTGAGAAAATCTGACTAGAATCAAAAAGTACTCTCTGTAGTCTTTGCTCTTACCTGTACACTAATATGATTTTTTTCTTCTAATTATAAAAATGAGTACAGTTTTACTTATCTAATAACAATAGTAATAATACTGATTGGGTTAGTGTTTATACTGTTTTCCAGATATGCACACCCATTCATAAAATGCATGAATGCATGAATCAATGTACTAAACTACATTGATTCTAATGCTGGACAGTGGGTACTATTCAGATTTAGATGTTCATTAAATGTACTGATGTTAATAGTTCATGTTTCAAGATATTAAATTCATTAATTACAAAAGTGTATCTGAAAGTATTTGAATTTAAATGCTGAGGGAATAGTTTTCACGAGTAAAACATGTCTTTGAACATATAGTACTGCTCCAGTCATTTAGAACCTCAGAGTGCAGCTGGGTTAAAGTGTCCTTAGCTTTTGTGTACTGGGATATCTGTAACCTTGTGATTTGTACTGGTGTAAACTGATGACATGATTCTAAATACTCATTTTATGATCAGAATATACAGTTTATGTGTATTTTTGAATGCTGTACATAGTAACTGTTTTCATGAAATTTTATGAGTGAGTCAATGTTAACTCTTTTGAGTCCCAAGATGCCATTGTCATTCTTCTCATTTTGATTTGGTGGCATTTCACTGTGTACACACATGTAAATGTAAGAACCAACTTAAAAAAAAGAAACTCCAACCAAATTAAGGTTTGAAACTAAAAACCCTAGTGTGACAATGGTTCAAAAGTCTTCTCCATTTGAAGGAAGAATGGGAAGTGATCTTAGTGGGAACTGGGGAGGGAGACTGAAAGCCTACGTGTATGAAGTACATATATAAAACATCAGTGTGCTAACAGTATTTGCAGGAAATCTGATGGAACTTTCTTTCTTCTGATTCCACAGTATCAAGTCATGGGTGGATAAGATGCAAGAAGACCTTGTCACGCTGGCAAAAACAGCAAGTGGAGTGACTCAGCTCGCTGATGTAAGTATCCCCAGCCATGAATTTTGCCAATCCTCCTCTTAGTTTGGGTTTCAAGTGCTCCATGTGCACCTTTATGTCCTTTGGGAGAAACATAAATACATAGTTAACTTCTGTATCAGAAATTCCCAAAGAAAACCTTACAAGTACTTCAAAATTATCTGAGGATGTCTTTATAAGGAAGATGCAGATATTAAACCCAGAGTGTGCTTACCATCCTTGGTTATATTGTATATCCCAAGTTTGAAAACCTGAACTTTCAATACTCTCAAATCTTAAACTTTTGTAGTGTGGGGTTGATGCCTAGATATGATGGAGTGCACTTCCCGTGCATGTATGCTGCTCACACTGTGTGACATCCCTCAGGGATGTAAGTGATGCATCAGCTGGAAATGAACTTTAGTTTAGACTTCTGTCTCAGCCCCAAGATATCCCATTAGGTATATGTAGCTATTCAGAAGTCTGAGGTAAGCACTTTCAGTCCCATGTTTCTGAGAAGGTATGCTCATCCTGAGTCTGCAAGGTACTTTGTGATGAAATGTATTTTTTGTTAATATTGATGGTCTCTTGTGTTTGAACTCCCAGATACAGGGAAGGGTGTAAGCTCCAGTTTATGATTTACTTCAGAAATACATGAGTATGTGCCACTGTGCTGGGTAGTATGTGGACCTGTATTTGAGGGATATAGGATTTGCAGGAGCAGATGTTTTCTGTTAATATTTATTTATTTATTTATTTATTTATTTGATTTAAGTTGACTGTGGGGAAAACTTTCATTCAACCGCAGAGACAAATGACAGATTTTAATGTTAAGTTTTAAAACTTTTATTGGCAAGATGAGAAATACACAGCTGCTGCCCCTGGCCCTCCATTCCTTCATTAGCCTCATGGTTCTGCGCCTGGCTGACAGACATCCGTTACTCTTGCTGTTTCTATGGGAAAATCTCTTGCTAAACTTATATTCTCTTTTTCTATTATGCTTTTCTGTATGGTGTAGATTACGTGGACAATTATAAATATTGATGAATGGGTAAATGACAACATACAATAAAGAAGATAAAGTCTGGATAATTATTTGTTTATGAGACACATGCCATAATATAGTGACAGAAGGATTATAAAGAAGTGCATGCTATATAATGTGGAGGGATGTGAGGTGGGGGAGGAAGAAAGAAGGAGGGAAATACAGAGGGAGAGGAGAAGGAGAGGGAGAAGCAGAGGTAGCGGGAGGGAGAGATTCATTGCTGGAAAATTATGCAAATATTAAGCATTAGAAGAGTCACATGATCCTTTCTGCCTCATTTGTTTTTTCCTAGCAAAAAGGTTCATGATGTGTGCAAATGGGTGGTGGTGGTGGTGGTGGTAGTTGTTTTGTTTGCTAGCTTAGTTTAGGTTTTGTTTTACTTCACATGGGAATTTAAAGCTAAATTTAGTTGAAAAATTCTAAAATGGAGAGTGAACGTTGAGGGGAGACAGGAGAGTGACGCTTGAGGGGAGATTAGAGGCCTTTTGAGCAGGCGTTTCTGTTGTAGGATTTATACAGTACTGGGGATCTTAGCCCAAGGCTTGGTGCAATGCCTCATCTCCTATTGGCAAGAGCTAGAGGAATGACGGACTCCAGAAGTTGAATACCTGCTGGAATTTATTTGGTCCCCGGATCGAAAGTCACTATTGTAGAAAAAGTGCTTCTTCTTTAGTTAATGTAATTATTTTTTACTGGCTTCATACATACACCAAAGGCTAAGAACCACGACAAATACCTATATTGCTAATGTAATTATTTTTGGAATTTTATGAAAATTCCTTTATGAGATCATGAAATATTAGCCAAAGGAAAATAATTAATATTGTTGAATAAATTCTACACTTTAAATCTTCCTACTTTAGTAAATTATTGTACTAAAGGACAAGCTTAGGGGCTGGGGAAGTGGTACACGGGCACATCGCTTGCTTCACAAGCCTGACAGCCAGAGCTCAGGTCTCCAGCACTACGGCGATGCAGGGCAGACACAGGAGCTTGCCTGTAATTCAGTCTCAGGAGGCAAAATTGCGATTTGGCTGAGTAGCCAGACTAGTCACTAATTCTTCCATTTGTTGTTATTTTCCAGTCTTCATTCAGTGCAGTGGGTCTCAGTCTATGCGTCGTGACCCTTTTGGGAGGTTGTGTATGAGATATTTATATTACAATTAATAGCAATACCAAAATTACACTTATGAAGTAGCCATGAAGTAATATTATGGGTAGGGTCATGATACATGAGGGTTGCAGCATTAGGAAGGTTGAGAACAAGTGATTTAATGGAAAAAGCCTGGGAAATAGATGCCCAATTATTTGGTTGTAAGATATTTGGCTCACACTACAATGACAAAAGTTAGTTATAGTATATATTGTTTTATGCAATTAAAAAAGTCCTAAACATGGAATCCTTACTCAAAATGCTCAACTCAAATTCTACTGCAACAAAAGAGGTCAGGGCAAATAGCTCTGTCTAAACATACTTAAGATGTGATAACACACAACTGAAGCCGTACTTTTAAAATTTCCATATTATTGCCCATGAAACAGGACAAAAATCTGAAGATTTACAAATAGCATGCACTTTCTTTTCTTTTTTAATTGTGCTGGGTATTGATGCCAGAATCTTTTGCATGCTAGGTAAGAGATCTGAGCTCTACTCCAGGAGACACATGCTCTTCCAAACAATCTAAATCAGAAACTATTGAAAATACCCTCTGTCATTCTTGAACATGTGCCTGCACACATTCTGCCAAGGAGGAGATTGTGATTGAACTGATGGATGGAGAATGTGATGTTTAATCACTAGCAAATATGTTTTTAAGTTGAAGTCTTCATGACATTCTTGAAATCAACATCTGTGAGTTCACAAAACATCCACCAGCAACCCTTTCATTCCTTAATCTGCTGAAAAGTGTTTTATCTTGATGTTATTCTCAAAATATGGCCCATATCTTGAGATATTTTAAATGAAATATCTTGAGATATTTTAAATGAATGATCTCTGTAGTAATGAGAATTTGCTTCATGCAAAGGTTTTCTAGAAATAAATCGATGAGTAAAAGCTATTCCATGTCTTTCCTGGGAGATTCATTTCTGAATCTGCAAACACTGTATTAACAGGGAACAGAATCCTGCCAGTAGGTCAGAATACCTCCATCATTACATTTCATTGCTCCTACCATGCTCACCCCAGGGAGAGCAAGCCACAGCCATAGAAGGAGATAGAATCACCTGGGAGATCTGTTCTGTCTTTTGTGGAAATTTGTCTTTACATCTCTTCCTTTCTCTTTGTCTCTGTCTCAGACTCCTCTTCACTAGAGGGTCTGTGGGTCCTTATTTACATAGGCTCACTATCTGGGGGAACTTTATAAGGCATTGCAGCAAGTGTCAATAATCTCAGCCTGGAAGTTACCTTATTGGGAAAGTTTAGGTTCTTTCCCAATTCCCTCAAGGGACTTTTCTATGTCCTTCCATGCTGCTAGACTCAATGGTACTTTGTGGTACAGAGTTGCTTTGTGATTCACATGTATCATCATGTCAGATTACCTTTTGTCTTCTGCCACTCTGAGACATGGGCTTACTCTTTTATAACAAAATGAAATTCAAATTCCCTTCACTCTGACATCCCTCAAATATTAGCAAATCCACAGCTATGGTTGGTTAGGTGCAATTTAACCTTTCTCTAAAGTGAAAAAAATTAATGCTATATATGAAACATCTAAATGTGACTGACATATATTGCTAGCAAAACTAACTGCTTATAATAATCTTGGAATTGCTCTAGCATTTTATGACATAATTCTAAATTTCTTTATGAATTCTGTTAAAAATTGTATTAACAACTGGTGCCACTTGGTATAGAATGTATTTGTGATGTTTTAAAATGTGTTATTTTCAAGATCATTTGAAAGATGGATTCAGTTTAGATTAAAGACATTTGAAAGAGTTTTATCTAATGAAAAAGAGTTAAAAACTATAACCTATGTTATTGTAGTGAAACTTGGTTTTGAAATGTAACAACGAAAAACATTCAAAACAGTTAAGACTGTGACTGAGGAAGGACATGTAGATGACAAGTTATCGTTTTGTCATGACTGTCAGACGATGCTGTCGGAGGATTTGAACTCTAAAATACTAAAGCATATTAGTGTGCCACAAGGCAGGCCATCTTATCTTGAGTTCTCTTTCAGCTTTACATTCTTTCTCGTGGAAAAACAGAAGCCAGTATCTGACAGCATTGTGGCAGTGACATGACTCTCCTAAATCTCTGTCTAGTGCCAAAACTCAGTTCTATTTATAATACACTGACTCTTCTTTCATGACAGAAACTGGATAAATGACAACAGAGACAGTCATTCAGACTTTCAGCAAAGGGGAAAAATTAAGAAGGAAAGATACTTAGATCATGTTTTAAATAGTGACAAATTAATATACTAGGATTATAGAGATATAGATTATTTAGTGATGGAAACAATATACTTATGAATAAAATGACTAGATATTATTTCTTATAGACTTCTATGTAAAACCTTCAAATCTACAAACTCTTCTTCATATATATTAGAAAAATTTCATAAGCCTCTACAATATATCTGATAATAAATAATATGTCCTTTTAATCATAAAATTAGTTTTCTTCAGTGGGTTGTAGTATAATATTGATTCATTTCCATTTTAAGATATTTTATGTATAAAATAGTATAGTGGCATTATAGACTTAATCTTCCTTAATATATTTTAGCATTATGAAACAGATTGTATTTTTATTTCTTGTGATAGCAAACTTTCTACTACTATATGAAATATTCAAAGTAATTAACTGAAGTTATTATTATTATCTCAGTAAAGGTACTGGCCTATGCCTGATCGGCCTTAAAGTTTTGGCCCTGTGACAAGCAAGCACATTATAGTTGTAGAGTGTGGCAGAGAGAAAATGCTAGCCCCATGGCCATGAAGCAAAAGAGAAAAGTAGAGAGAGTGCTGGTGTTTCCACATTCGCTTTAGGAGCATTTCACTAAAGTTCTAAGCTTCCAAAAGTTCCTACCCCCAACAAAAGGTCCTTTACCTCCCGACAGTACCATTGTTAACACATGAGCAATTGGTGGTCAGTCAATATTCAAACTATAGTGACAATATTGGAATTTTGGTTTCTTTAAAAAGTACATACATATTATGTGTTTTCGTTTTAATCCCAGGTGTGGGGATATGGTGCTGCTTTGAGCTGACTGCAGCAGCTGACCATGATTTGCCTCGTGCTCTAGCAGAAGCATGCCAGCTGCAGATAGTTTCTGCAATTGGGTGATCTTTGGACCTGTGAGAACTTCTCAGCAGTGTATAAACACTAGAGTCCTGACAGGGTGGTGGGTCATGGGTTATTGTTCTTTTCTGGGAGGTTGGTTGTAGTTTGTTAGTGGTCTTGGTAAAGAAGAAAAAAGAGGGAAGAAATTAGATTCAGGGATTCTCTCTCTCTCTCTCTCTCTCTCTCTCTCTCTCTCTCTCTCTCTCTCTCTC